GGAATAACCAATACTATTTCAGAATTTTTTAAAAGATGTCTGATAATTTCTAAACGATATTCATATAAATTCATTTTTCTCCCAGTGTATGGAGTATAACTTTTGTACATATAATAGGAATTTAATAACAAAACTTGAAATATGTTAATACTTATTTTTTATACCATCTGACCGTCTTTTGCTGACATGGATAGTAAGCGAGCATTTGATCTTTGCGATCAGCACAACTCATTATATTTGGATATAGGTAGGGGTTTTATTTTTATTTGTTTTTTTTTTGTTTTCAGTTTTGATGCGATCATTTTGAAATTCCGTGGATATGTACATAACTTCTCTTTTATCTCTCCACTTTCCTACTAAAATGCCATATCTGTATTGCCTAACTGTCTGTCCTTGTTTTAGTTTAGCTTCTAAAACTTTTTTACGGTTAGGGTAAGAGCACGTAAAACGCCGGCGAACAGGCGCGTTTATTACTGGTGCTGACAAGCGCTTATTTTCTGCGCTTGCCTGCTTTTACGTGGGCAAGTAAAAAGCTGGATATCAGCATCAGTTTGTTTAAAACTTTTCGTAGTGAAAGATGTCGTTGGATTCCGAAACGGAAGATAAAATGTTCAGATGCGTGTGAAATAAAATTAGAAAATATCCACTTAAAAAATTTACATAGAAGGGATGATGGTGTGTGCATGAAATTAATTGTGAACGGCGGGAATTCGGGGAGTACCACCAGCTTGGGACTGTTGCAAAAACCATTGAACATTTTCAAGTCGTGAAGGATAATCGGTTGATGTCATACTATGTCCTTTTCATATTTGAAACTCCTATAGAAATCTAAAAAAAAATTCTATAGAATACGATAAAAAAACAAATTTTGATATTGTTATATTTTCCTGAAAATTTTCATACATCCGCTGGCTGAAGGATTAATTTGTATTTATTTTTGCAACTGACATAGTACGTACAGTTGCTGTTGCAATTATTTTCTAAAAACTATAGGTATCTATTTTGAAATTTACTCGATATAATTTACAACCAATTTTAAGAAGTTTTTTGCGAATTTCTAATTTCTTGTTTCCTTTTACTATCGTTATTATTCTTCTACTGATTTAGATAAATATTTGACATTTCATTGTTAAATTACTTTTACATCATCATTCTCAACAGTGGTGAGGCATCCCTAGTTGAGCCTCTACCTTCCCCAGTCGTTTCTGTTCATCGCCAACTGTTACCAGTTTGTTGCGCTGATCTTCCTCGTGTCCTCGTCTACACCATCCATCCATCTTAGTCTTGGTCTACCTCTACTCCTATTTCCTCCTGGTGCCATTAATATAACTAGCCTGGATGGTTCATTTTCATTTGATCTTGACACATGTTCAGCCTATCTAAGCTTACACATGTGTATGAAAGATATTAAATCTCTACCATTAACTATTTTTTATACTTCTCGTACAATTGGATAATATATCGACTTCTGCAAATACCATTCTCACAGATTGCTTCTATTATTCTGCGTAATATCTTCCTTTCGAAGACGAGCATACGATTTGCGTCTGTTTTGGAGAAGGTCCATGTTTTTGACTCATATGTTAGCACTGGTAGGAGGAGTGTTCTAAATTACATTTTCATTATCTGTACCAATTAAGATCCTTTTAAAATATGGCGAATGCGCAGATGTACATTATTAAAATGGCAAATAACAGCCAAATGGCGTTTTATCCCATTCCACTAATAGTTCCTTTTCGTTTTATTGTAGGGAAATCATGTTTAATAGTCTCATACAGTGACTGTCATCGCTACAAAAATTTCACATCCCTAACCATTACGACTAGCACGTCTATGGCTTTAACACAATACTCTTTACATGTTTACACTTCAAAAATAAACATACGCTCACGTTTTAATTATACTGAAAGTTTTATATGATTGAAATTAACAATATCAAAATTAAAATTAAAAAACGAATGTAAAATTCTAACTTTGGAGGTGTAGAACTCGGAAACGAACGACTGATTTCATTTAAAGTACCTACTATCATTATTTTGTCTCAAAGTATATATACCTACACAAAGTTTAAATTAGTTCCTTAATAAGCCGTATATTTATTCTTTATTCAGTTTGTATCTTTTACAATTAAAGTAGCATTTGTTGTTTCTAGTCCAACTTATTCTCCATAAAAAAATAAAAATAAATACCTAAATATAAGAAGATCTAAATTAAAAAATGCATTGTCAATTGAAATTGTTAACTTTCAATGCCTATTTCTACGCTAAAAATGCCTTCAGCAGATGAGGCAGTATGCAAAATTTATCATTTCCTTTTAAATAAACTACAAGCTTTTGCACTATTCTAAAACGTACTTAAGGTCGGTCTTCATTAGATTCTTCTATGGTAAACGTGAAATCGTTAATATAATATCCTGTCGATAATTTTCTGCACTTCCGATCATAGCACGTTGTATTTTATTATTGAATATAAGGTTTAAATACTTGACAATACTGCAAAAATTACAAATAGTAATATATATATATCTATATATATATATTATATATATATATATATATATATATATATATATATATATATATATATATATATATATATACAGGGTGGTAGGGTGGTCCTTAAGTAATTGTACAAAAAAGAAACCGTAGATTCTACACTTTAAAATATTACGATTTAAGTCAAGTTGCTTTAATAGAATGTTAATATTAAGAAAGATACAGGGTGTTAAAGTGGAAATTTTAAATTTTATTTTTCGCTATAACTTTTAGGTTTGTCAACATTTATGTATAAAAATTTACAACTGGGTACTATCAAATATCAGAAATTATAATTTGATGTATACTTTGATGTAGCTGATAGAGGGCGTCACATATGCCACATATGTGGCATATACATATTTGCACGTAACTTTTCTGCTCTTTAAGCTATCGGTATTTTTAATGAAAAATTTTAAATGAAAGATACATTATTTTAACAAAAAAAAAGGTATATTTGTTAATATCTTTAAAACTCAACAGTTTGCGAGATAATCGCATTTTAGGAATCAACTACATAATTCTGATTTATCGCAATTACTCCAGGCAACGAAAGAAAATAAAAGAAAAACTTCAATACTTCTGAATTTTGGTATAAAATACCTTTAATAAAGTTAATATTTAATGAATTATTAAATAAAATAAATATATCAGTAGAATAAAATAATAGGATTTGATAAATAACAGAATAATTGGATTTTACATCAAACATTTTACGTTTTGTATTAAATTAAAGTCATAATCAAAACATTTTATTTACAAACCAAATTAAGAAATAGTTAAAGTAAATAAAATTAAACTTTTTGTCAAAGTAAGTGTTCAATATGTCCACCATTTTCTTTAATTCATTTGTCAATACATTCGATAAAATATCGTCTCATATTAAATAGAGTCATTGGTTCTAAAGAAATTGCTGCAGTATTGATTATAAGTATTATAAGTATAATAATAAGTAATTTTTTGAAATGTATATGAATTAAACTATAACAGCATTAATCCTTGCACAACTCCTCACTCAAACTACTAACTCCAGGAACAACTCCTACTCGTCAGACCCAAGGATATCTCAACTGATCTACTTGGTCAAATATAAACTATATATCTGTATTTTACTTACAGTATGTCATCTATTTTTTCAACTTCTTTTGCCTGCTACCACAAAATTTACTTTTTGAGAACTCTTTTTCCGTGAATGTAGCCTTTGTCTCTACACAATTATAATTCACAAGTGGAAAAAACACTTAATATCTATTATACCTGGTTTATATTTTACAAACTTAATATTACTGTGTATAGGATTATAGGATCTTGCGATTTTGTCGGTCGGTGATTTGATTTTTGTCTCAACATTTTCTTTTTATTTTTTTAGAAATTTGAAATCGTAATACAATATACAAATATATATATATATATATATATATATATATATATATATATATATATTACATATATATATATATATATATATATATATATATAATATATATGTATGTATATAAGTATGTTGGAAATATCGGGTATGTGGTCTATATTAAATAAAAATCTTTGTTTTTTCTAAAGCTCAATATTTCGCCATTTATTTAATAGCTTCATCAGGAGTAACTGTAAAAAACAAACATTTTAAAAAACTGATGTACAATTAGATCTACAATACTTACAAAAATTAAAAGATTTCACACATAAATAAAACTGACATTAAAATAACATTATTGCTGATGTATATGTACATCCAATAAAATGCATGTTAAAATATACATATCTTTGAGCACGTTCGTTAACAATAAATAAGATGGAAACAAGTAAAAGTTATTTCAAAATGCAAAAAATAGCAATGTAAGAAAACATTAGAGAAATATTATATCTTTAATTAATGATTACGGCTAGTCAGTATAATTAATCATTAAGATGAGTGTACTTTTAAATTTTGTTTAATATATTGCAATATATGTTGCTTAATTGCCCCGTGTCTGTTTTATAGATTAAAGTTTGTTTATTTTTGTTGATGTGATACATCTTCAAAAATAACCTACTTTTGTAATTTTCAGTCTGTGCCAAAATACGAGCATTGTTGTAGCCTAACAGATGACCGGTGTTTTCATAGTGCTTGACTACTGCACAAGTATTTTTTCCTAAGCGGCAATCACTTTTATGTTGTTTGATACATTGTTTTAGCCACTGCGATGTATAGCCAATGTAGCTTTTTTCACATCATAGATACTGTATTTTATATACCACATTACTCCTATATAAGGTTGGTACTGGGTCTTTAATTTTAGAAAAAAGTTGTTTGCTATTTATTGTATTGTATTTCGCAATATTAATATTGGAGAATTTTAATTTGACTCTAAAGAGCAAGGGACTTGTCAAAACATTAACAATTATTAATGTGTGTATTTAGCAACTTTCGAACAGGTTAACAATGACCAACGTGTGTATTTAGCAACTTATGAATGCACCTGATTAAGAATGACATTTAGTGAAGTTTACACAGACAGAGTAGTAATTTCAAAAAAGTTAACATACCGGGGTGTTCTTACTGTTAGTTTAAGTTGCCATCATTAATAAAGTGTGCAAGACTTTATTCACCTATATCATTGATATTGATCTCAACGTTATAATAACCAGTGAGGACACAATTTGTGTTACCATGAATCACTAACGATTTAAAAGAATAAAGTATAGTAATTAATCTGAGATTCAATAAACCAATCAAATCAAGGACTATGTACGTAAAATTCAAATTGAAAAAAAAATTAAAAATGAGTGCACGGGTGTGAGTGAAATTAAGTAACCATAAGCGGGAGTAAAATCACTCCTTGGAACTTGAACATCAGTTTCTCTCTCCTGTTGCCGACCAAAATATAGCTTCCACTATTTTTTAAATAATTTTAAACTGTTTGTTCTTGTTTAGTGTAGTGTTATGTTCCACTTCATGTTTAATATTAAGTTTATGACATTCTGCGATTATTGGATAGCCCAAAATTGACGAAATGCCTCTGAAGATGCTCTAGGAAGCGAAAGTACTTAAGCAAGATTTAATTAATAAAACAGTGCTCGATATCTGCCTCTCATTTTATCAAAGTTTATTTATTTGAGCATTCAACCTTATATCAAAAAATATAATATCCTAACCATAATAAAAATTCTGAAAATAAATATTAAAATACTGATTAAATAATGTTAAACAAATTATTTTTTTTTTATTGTATAATGGCTTTGGCTTAGCCAATTAGTCTGTTGATTAAATTATAATAAATTAAATTTTCCTGAAAATCTTATTAAAATTAAACACTCATTCAAAGACTGTTTAAATCTTACAGCTTTTATATTCATCAAATTATAAGAATTTCCAATATCTGAATTCTGTTAATAGGAGAGAATTCACCATATTTTGTGTCATAATATTTTATAGAAAACAAAGGATGTCTTTAACCTTTTAAATGCCGCTACTAGATAGGATTAAAATTTTGACTTGCAATTAAGATATGGTATCATTGGAGGCCTATGTATGGATATTTTGGTTTTATATAAAAAAATCACACATTTCATTTTTATTATATGTTCCCATAATGGCAACGTTAGCATGTTCCAAGAGTAAAAAAATCAATTTTTTGACATGTTTGTTTTAAAAACATCATCATCAATTAGCCCATATTTGTTCACTGCTGAACGTAGGCGTCCCGTAAAATTTTCCACTTATATCTGTCTTGAACTTCTTGCATCCAGTTTGTGGTGATGCGCTTGATATCATCCGTCTATCTAGTCGGTGGTCGTCCTCTGCTTCGATATGCATCTTACCTTGGTCGCCATTCCAGAATCTTTTTGGTCCATCTGTCATCCGTTAATCTGGCAACATGTCCGGCCCAAGCCCATTTAGCCCTGGCTATTTTTTCAACTGCATCTGTGACTCCTGTTCTTCTTATTTCTAGGTTTGGTACTTTATCTCTGATGGTAATACCTAATACTGATCTTTCCATAGCGCGTTGTATAACTCTTATTTTATCTATTGTTCTTTTTGTCAGAGTCAGTGTTTCTGCACCATATGTAAGAACTGGTAAAACGCACTGGTTAAAAACCTTTCTTTTTAAAGAAACTGGGATACTAGACTTGAAAATGTTATTCAATCTACTACAGGCAGCCCATGTGAGACCTATCCTTCATTGTATTTTAGTTGTCTGATTATCTCGGATTAGGCGAATCTCATGCCCTAGATTTTTGTAAGAATTTTACCGCTGACTACAAGGTTGGTCATAAATTTTGTTTTTGAGGTGTTAATTTTAAGACCAATTGATTTTGACACTTTATAGAGCGTGTGCAGCATTTTTGTAGCTTTATCAACTCTATCAGATATTCAAACGATGTCATCGGCAAATCTTAAGTGGTTCAGATCTTCACCATTTATATTAATTCCATTATAATCTTCTCGTTCCATCTGCTTGAACATATATTCAAGAACAGCTGTAAACAATTTAGGGGAGACAGTATCACCCTGTCTTATTCCACTTTCTATTTGAAACTTCTTGGTATCTTCATGAAGGCGGAAACAAGCTGTACCAGTTTCGTAGATACTTTTAATCAAGGCAATAATCGGTATCAAGATGATCTATTGATCGAAAGTACTTGGGCAAGATTTAATTAATCACTGTGTTCGATAGTTGCCTTGTATACTATCAAAATTTTATTAATTACTGTAACATCTTGGACAATATTTTTTCTATTTGTGATGATGAAATCAATTTCGTTTTTTGTTGTGCCATCTGGACTTGCCCACATCCACTTACGTTGTTGGTTCTTTTTGAAGAATGTGTTTATCACATAGAGCCGATGATGCAACAAAAAATATAGTAGCACACCTACTCTATCATTTCGTTCACCATATCCAAATGAACCCATAACTACTTCTGCGTTTTCTTCTTTAAATTCAAGTTTTGCGTTAAAATCGCCCATTAAGATTAGGTAGTGGGTTTTATCTTTTTCTATAGCTCTATTTATATCTTCATAAAAGTTTTCAATTTCTTCATCGCTATGGCTCGTCGTGGGTACATATACTTGGAAAATTTTAATAGAGCGTTTCTCGTGCAGTTTTAATATGAGGTACACAACTCTTGAGCTTACACTCTCTATTTTTATAATTTTATCTAGGTGTTTCTTGTGCACCAGAAAGCCTACGCCGCCAGCTGCTTTATCGTTTTCTTCAATTAAATCTAGCAGATGCCTTGATTTTAAAACTAATTGATTTTCTCCTTTTCTTCGTATTTCGAAAAGTCCCAATACATCCCATTTTATGCAGTTAAGTTCTTCCTCTAATTCAATGAGATTATCTTCAGTTGCAAGCGTTCTTACGTTATAAGTGCCAATATGCAATGTTCGTTGTCCATGGTAGCCGCGTCTATCCCGATGATTCTTTACACCCTCTGCCCTTGGTGGCTACCGTCACCAGGGACCATGGGGCCGCCGGGGACTAAGGGCCTTTTTCTAGTTTATATCATGTCATTTACGGGGAAAATTAGTCATTTCACTACCACGCTGGCCAGTGCGGGTTGGTAGCGGGATATATCAGGATGTGGCAAGGATTGGAAAATGGGTAGGAAGGTAGGTTGGCGACCTGGCCTCTCCTAAAGGCTTGGACATAGGGGAAAGTCATCAGTAGCTAGCGTACGGCAGGGACGCCACTCCCTGTAGCAGCCTGTCCTCTACCGGGATCATAGGGGAATGCTACCCGCTACCCGCTTGTTTTAAGAACGTTTATTTTTAATTTGTTACATGAAAATCATATTATTTTAAATGGTAATGAAGCACTAAGTGATAAGAATTAAAATAATTTTTTGTGGAAGTTTAAAAACAAAGTTTTCAGTGTTTTATTGTTATTTTTTTTTTTTTGTTGTTATCTAGAAACATTAAAATTAAGTTTTCGAAATAAATGTTTTAAAAACTTTTGAATATTCTGTTTTATATTTGTTTTTCAAAAAAAGTGTCTCAAATTTGGTGCTTTTCCTCTAATTGTAATACCCTCCCGCAAAAATGAAAAACTAACGATAAATTTCCAAAGACGAATTTCATATAAATTTAATTATACAATAATTATTTCCAAAACTAACACAGCTTTAATGCAGCAAATATTTAATAGTATTATAGTTTATTTTCATACAGGTAAATGCTGAAAACACGGTTTCCCGAATACATTTTTAACTTGCTGAAAACAAAACCTCTGTTATAAACTATTTAAACCAAAACTGAATATGAAGCTGTTCGTAACGGGAAACATTTTAACAATGGTGAAGCTGTAATTACGAATTTAAAGCTTGTTAAATTTAATAATTTGTGTAATACATTTTCTGAACTTTTAATTATTAAAAAAAAAAGTGTACTATTTTACTACTATTTTGTGTATATTTTATATACTTTATTAAACATAACATTTTAGAATTTAATTCCATGTTTACACTTTTTTGAAAAGTTTAACATAGATTAAAAAATCTGTATACGATTTAAAAAAGTATTTGCTGTGTTTTCGCGTAACTAAATGCGGCTGAGAGAGAATGTCTGTTGTTAGCGGCAGTCAACAGGAAAGAGAATACCTCTGTTGCTAATGATAGTCAACAGGAAAGAGACAGCGTCTGTTCCCAGCCATAGGTGACAGATACGAGAGCGTCTTCTTGTTTGCTATCTTACAACTGTCTGTATTTCTAAGGAGGGGGTTGGAATGGAAGTAGAAAATATTATCAAGGGTTGGACTAAGGTAACGATTGTATTTGTGCAAGAGAATATTTGCAATCCTTGAGGGAGTCAACTATATATATATATATATATATATATATATATATATATATATATATATATAATATATATATATATATATATTAAGGATCACTCAGACGAGTGGTGGGTTTTTTTTCGGTCAAAAGGTGGAGAAAAAAGACAAAGATGATGGCTACTTCATCCATTTATTGAAGACGTTTCGCTTTCTTAATCAGCATTAGTTCATCTAAAAAGAACAATATAAAAAACCACACAAGCATGGAAAAGTTGTTATATGTGTTCCCTTAAAAAGATATGTAGCAGTCAGTGATATTAAAAAATGTAAAGAAGCTTAAGTAAATGGACATTATACGATTATGATGTATAACCAATAAATTGAACTAACTAGAATTAACAGTTTGTATAAACTTAGAACAGCAAAAGAACATGTGGTCTATTATACATGTATAAGTAAAACAACATTAGCATGGGATTGAAGAACTAAGAAAATCAAAGATGCACTTCCAACAATATATCAATAGTTGAAATGTATAACGAAATTACCACTCCAGGCTTCTAGACTACCGCCGGTAAAATGGCGTTAGATTAGAACAAAGGCGCCAAACAACGTAAAAAGACAGTAACCTTGAGGTCATGAAATTATGACAAAGCAGCAAGGTGAGATACCAACCCTAATAATAGAGCGGTATATTCAAAGAGTAAGATGAGTTTGGGTGATAACCTGTCTGTAAGAAACCAAAACAATGAAAGGAAAATGTTGTTAAAAACACCAATTTCCC